TCAGCATATACTTAACCTCATGAACGAGAGTCACGATAACTGCTCCGCTTTCACTTATATTTGACAAAGCTTACCCATGTAATTACTGTCGCTAAAGCCATAATTCGTCTTTGCCAAATCATCTTCTCGTAGGATTGAATATTGAGGATTTGTGAGTCCCGTAAATCGACTGCTTTGTCTATTAACTGCATGGCGCACGTTGTTGATTGAGTAGCAGCAAAACCCTGCGTGTCGTTCTCTCCTTCTGAATGTGTGAACAATGCAGTTCTTGCAAATGTATCGTTACAGAAATGCAATAATGGAATGAGGCAAGCGATAAAAGATGAGGAAAAATAGCGAACAAAATGAGCATGCAATAAGGTATTCTCCATGGGAGCGATTGTTTTTATTTGCTCGTAATTTTCTATGCATATTTGAGCTGAGTAAATTTCTAACAGCAGTTAGAAATTCTATTGGAATAGAAAGCATTCTCAATGAGGTACCGATTGTCCGCATAGTCTGTTATTGCAGTGAGAGATGTAGCGGAAGAGATCGAGAGGGCAAACGGATATCAGCTGCTCGAATAGATGCAACATCAGTTGTAACATAAACAATCGTCAATTTCTATGGTGAGATTAATAATGCAGATAAGTGAGACCATTTAGTTGATATGCGTAAGCAGACCAAATCCTGAAGCAAGAACCTACACTCAGAGGAAATGTTGCACTGTATAGCTTCTAATCTCGCTACTTCTCTTTTGCTAATTGATAAGCAATGCTCCAGCTCAGACGTACAAGTGACCCTAACTCGCAACTGAGACGCCATTAAACAGGAATAGAAGGATGAGCGACTAGACGGAGACACAGAACGTCAACAGAACATCGAGTGCTCCCACCCTCAATCGGGGCGGGGCTCTAGCAGTCAAGGGGATAAGATGAAAGAAATAATCGCACATGTACAGCACCCCAGCAACCATCCATTGTAGATGGTAAAGTTGTAGGTAGAAATTGCAATATCACAACAAGGTGCATCCCAGTCATGTGTAGTAGAGCCGAAGGTGATAGTGAAAGTTGAACGGGAGCATATATGAGTACGACGACTTTTTATGGCTGCCGGAATGATTAAACAGCCGTGTGACTCACTTGAAATATACGCCTAAGCTATACCTAGCGGACTAGTCTTACTTATTACAACAAACTTTGTCTTTTCAAACATTCATCCCAGTTCTGCTTTTCTTACTTGTTTTCAAAGTTAATGATTGCAACAATTCAAAAACCTACAAGGGTTCCAAACGTGCCTAGTCAGTGATTATTACCTCGACAGCAGTTAGCTTTCAATGTAATAACATCTAAACTGACAACATGCCTGCTCAATGATATATGAGGGCTTTTGATTGTCTGAAAACCTTAGAAAGAACAGAAGGAGCCAATTGTAAATGTTTCCTCCAGCAGTATAACCATGTATAGCACAAATTGCTGCATGAAGATTTGAAACGTTGAATTTCTAGCATTACTGAGAAGCAGCAGCGCTGAATAACCAGAAATGATTTCTGAGTGGAACAAAATCGTTTTTAATTCAGACTATTCATAATAGGGCATTAGCCAGTTAGAAGATTCTTATTTCAGAACCACTAGCCCAATTATGAAAGTACTTTTTTTTCGATGAAAGGCTTGCAGCAGATTTATGGCATCATAGAAGGAGCAAAATCTTACCCCAAAAACTTTTAAATGAAACTTTTTTGCGAAAACTGCAATCACATAAATCATCAGACATCTGCTTAGGTACCAGAGGACTTCTAATGAACTCTAGGTTTAAGTATAAACAAGTTGACTCACAAATTGAGAGCAAATGACGAGCTTTTTTTGCGTTGACTAATCACCATTTAATTTTTAACTAGAGAAGATTTGAGAAAAAAATCTTACGAAAAGCCCGACTCGAAATTTTTTTCTTGAGATCGACTACTGCGTTTACTGCTGAAACTTTTGCATATATCCTCAGA